TTAATATCCAATCGCCTTTCGATTTACATTTAATCGATTCTCGACTTTTATTCCGCTTCTCTTATTCGCTTAATTTATTTGTAAATTAGATTACGATTTGGCCCTTCTTCTTGTTTTCCTTTTTCCTTTATTATGACCGTTGCCTTCTTCCTTCCTTCCGACTCGATACACCTTGGCCAAGAATTTAATCATTTCTTCCTCTTAATAAAAAGTCGGCCGGGCGCGTGGCTCCTTGCCAAATCATTTCCAAATTATTCGATTTTCGTCGTCGGCGGGCCACGGCCGGAAACGTTCGACACTGGCGAAATGCGGGCCTCCGAAGGAGAATGAGGGAAAACAAAAAGAAATTCCCGGCGTTTTTCCTTTTTCGGAGGATCGATAAAAGCGATTAGCATATTCGACGTAAACGCCGCCAAATTTATTAAAAGCAAATTTCCATACCCCAACCGGGGAGGTTCGTTTGCTTCTTTTGGAAAATTGCGCCCGTTTCGGAATGTTTGTGTGTTCCAATTTCGCATTGGTAAATAACTGACATTATTTACCTCCCGTGCGAATGCCTAAACGATCGATATCGATATACAAACAATCGATATAAACACATGCGAACAACAGACAGGAGCACGTGAAAACAACAGATATAAACACATGCAAACAACAGATATAAACACATGCAAACAACAGACAGAAGCACGTGAAAACAACAGATATAAACACATGCAAACAACAGATCCTTAGACAATAATAACGTTATGTTATTGAAGAAAAGTCGTTCCCAGGCATAACTTTACTATCAAGATCTCGTTTTAGCTTTCGGTCGAGCACACATTCTGCAACATTAACCACCCTCCACCGTACAGTCAATCACTCGTTACGTCACGGAACCCTCTCACCCGCTACTTCAATTCTTTTTTTCTTACATTCTAAATCGTTTTTTATCGCATCATCAATAAAATAAAATCCATTTTTGAATATTAATAACTGTTTTATACGAGATAAACGCGTCATCCCCCATAAATAATTAACTTTCGCCATTTAAATGGCACAGAGAAAAAGGTCGGGGGCGGCCTATTTGCAGTCTGCCAGTGTTCGATCATTCATCCAGACCCTTTTGCCAGCAATCGATGGTGGTTCCCCCCTTCGACTTATGGAGCCGCATGTCGTCATGGTAACGGAAAATTCTATTGAAAAATACTCCCATATTTACAAGCGTAACGGGGTATTGTATTCGGGGGGGATGGGAACACCCAAAAATTTCGAAGATTCGGAAGAGAAAAGGGGTAAAGATTGAAGGAGGAAGTATAAATTTACAACTTGTGTTTATTTTAAGGACAGAGAAACGGGCGAAATATCGGAAATTCGCGTAAAAGTAAGGGGGGGTGGTCGAAGGAAAAATCGCTTATTCCCACGATTTAACGGACGTGAGAATAATTCTATCCTCGGGTGCACTCGGCTATCAATAATCAAGCAGATCATCACGCGACGATGGAATCGCACGTCCGTCACGCTATCGGAGAGAGTAATGGATAGAATCCATCTGATTTTATTCCTCCCATTGATTATCTATAACAAACCTTTCAAACTAGTGTAAAGAATCTTCTCCCCTTTCCGCTGCTCTCGATTTTTCTTTTATTACTTTAATCTCTGCCCTACTTTACTCGCCAGCTTCTTTTGCCTTTCTTTAATACAAAAAATTCGTCCGTCGGTGTGTCTGAACGTATTTTATAGCGCAAAATTTCGTCTTCTGTGTAAAACGGTGACGTATTTTATACGGTTTTCGGTCGGAGATGAGGCCCTCCCTCCGTATTTATAACCTACCGGGGCCTCTCTCGCGTTACGTCATACCTATTTAACTTGTTATAAATACCACCGACGAGAAGGAAATTATTAACGGGCAGACATTTTTTTTCTTTTCTTCTTTAACAACTGCAGAAAAAGGGGGGAGGAATTAAGAAGTGGCCGGCAATTATTCCGGTGTTCGATTTTATCGGTAAGTGCTTACGACATTCGATTAAAAATGACTCATTTGGGGTAGTTTAAGGGCAGCTAAATTATTATTTTGGCGATAATACGACAATAACGATCCTCCTCGGCGTATTTAATAATCATTAAGTTGACGAATGACTAATTCACGAAGCGAACCCACGATTAATCTGCCGTGTTTCTATTCTATTATCGGGATTTTTCCCCGACTTTTGTTAGTTAATGAAGAAGAGAGGCGGAGGGAAAAGATTCCGAGACCTAATCTCCTCGATCCAGACGCGGAGGGGGTGAATGCGAGAAAACAAGAGCCTGTGTGTGTGCGCGCGCGATCTCTTGGAATGGTGCAGAAGTGAGAAGGCGATCCATCACCACAAAAACTGACAGCTTATATCTCTTGGTATTAAAATGTATGCTCCTCCCGGCTCTCCTTTTTCCTCACTCGCTCCAACACTCGGATGACGTCGACTCGACGATTGGGGTTGACACGTGCCCCGCCCACAAATAATATGGGGACATAAAACTGCCATTTTGAAAATAAACAATGATCTTTCTCGTATTTTCCTACGAGACGATCCTGGAAGAAAATAGCTATTATTGTCTATTGGAAGGAAGAAAAAGCATCTACAATCGTGGTACGTTTATCATTCGGGGTGACATTCGGGACAATAATTTGTCCGCGGGGTCCACCATTTAAAGGTAGATACGTTCCAACTGACTGGTTTAGAACCATCTCGATAAAAGTAGGAACGTGACGTCACGGAATTCCATGAGATATGGGCTCGAAAGAACGGGGGGGAGGAAGTGGTAACGTGGGCACGATGCCAAAATTCGCCAACATAGTTTTCTTTTTTTGTAGTTAAGGTCCAACACCCCCGACTACAAGTAAGAAATATATTTAAAAGCGCGTTAAGATGAAATTATAAATTGGGTGGTTAACCGGTTAAAATTCGGTTAACCGGGTTCGTATTGTGTGTATACGTAGTACAGTCGATCCCCCCTATAACACTGTTAATAATTCCGTTTTATATGAATTCCATGTTGTACGAGTCACTTAGATTTTACAAATACGTGTGTAGGGCTGTGAACGGCTGACGTATTTGTAAAATCTAAGTGACTCGTACAACGTGGAATTCATATAAAACGGAATTATCAACAGTGTTATAGGGGGGATCGACTGTATTTTTCTTTCGGGTGTGTAGGTATTTAAATAAGAGTAATTTAGCTTTATGGTGGTTAATGTGGATCCATATATTTTCACGTGTATTTTATATACAAGTGATTCGGACCCTCCGAAACTGTACTTGAGCGAAATTAGAATAGATAAAATAGATTTTAGGGGTTCAATAAGGTAAATAATGTTGATTTTAGAGAAGGGACGTGTAATTATAAATCCACTAATTTGGGTTTTGAATGAAACTAAGTGTATACGTTTTAAACACCCGTAACCACAAAGTTCCATCAGGCTAAAAACCTTAAGAACCACGTGCAGATTGTAAATAAACGGGTATTAATAAGAAGACAAGAATGACACCGTTTTAGTGTGTGGTTTTCTGTAAAGATGAGAGTTTACGAGTCACGTGGTTACCGATATGGGCCTATATTTCGGGAGCACGTCGGGTAGAAAGTTTAATATGAAATCCCACGCGCACATAAGTACATACACATGGAAAATATCAACTTTTAATCATCGTGCTTGAGATTCCCGCTCACGTCGAGTGACGACCTGTAAATGTGTGTGTCCGCGCTAAGCAACTTTAGAGAATTCCCTTAGACTAGAAATTCGTGAATATTTTATATTTAATGTTTCTCGTATCTTTAATAAAGCAACACGTTTCATTGGAACAGACAAACACACAGGATATAAATAAATCTTCATATACAAACGGCTGTCGAGACGAAGAGATTCAACTGATCCCTAGATATAAACACATGCAAACAACAGACAGAAGCACGTGAAAACAACAGATATAAACACATGCGAACAACAGACAGGAGGACGTGAAAACAACAGTTATAAACACATCAACAACAGATATACACGCAAAACAGACAGGAGCACAAGAAAATAGCGGGCTAATAACAGAAAGAAAGGCCTATATGTGAACAAAATAGCATAACTTATAATACGAATAAATAACTTAACACCAAAAAAAGAAACCATAAATATTGCAAGCATGCATTACACATACAAAAACACACAGATTAAACATCTATATTTAGACATACGCGAATTTATATAGGCGGGTAGATAAACACTTAAAACCGCACGATTAAATATACGTGCCGACAGAAAAAAGACGATAGAAGGGCATAAATAGGAAAGCAAATATAAAAATGCACACACGACACTACACACAAGTTACACACACGAGCACAGTCGACGCATTAAAGTTAGTCCCGCATGCCAACAAAGTAAACACGCGACGTACTACAGTACGGTATAAAAAAAAAGAGGCAGACGTTTCCACATTCCCTTAGTTAAAACGGGGTTTATACATCCCCCCACACATGAAACGGCGTAATTCTTAATTTAATTCGAGACGAAGAAAAGGAGGCCAAGATTTTAATATAAACATTAAGAATTGTAGAAAGGGCTCGAAGATAATTTACGGCGTGGTTCCCTCGGCGGGCGAAATCAATTAGAGGTGAAGAGGAAGTTGTGAAGAAGGGCGCCATCATCATTAAGGATCGTTTATAATTCTCGGCCGTCCGACAAGATCATCTTTGTCTCTCTTCATTAATTCATCCATCGAATTAACTAATCCGGCTTCGTCCATTAATGGCGTTACCGAATCACACGCGAGAATTCCAAGGAGATGCAAAACTCCTTACCGTCTCCTCCCCCCGGACCACGTGTTATTATTAATTTAGTCGTCCTTCCCCCCCCCCTCTCTCTGCACGTTTGCCGTTATAATTTCTTATAAAAGAGCCCGTCGATGATGATGGCCTTACTCTAAATTAATCTATGATTAATCTAAGAGGAAAGAAATTAAAATTTTCCACTCCTTTTGTTTACTTACAGCTTAACGATGCCGGGAAGCGAAGAAAATGCGCCATATTCGATTGAGTTCAATTTGTTCTCTCGGAGGATCCTGAAAAATATCGATTGGAAATTAACTGCTTTAATTAATGCCCGGTAAATTATTCATTTATACGCGATTTATACGGGTTAAAACAGGGTGGTTTTGGTAGAAATGTCACTGGAATGTAGTAAAAGAATGGTGGAATATGGTGAATTACAAGTAACACAGTGTAGGAGATATATGGTTAAACACCAAGTATGTCGGAAGTATAGGAGAAGGTGGGTGGCAAAATGGCATCTTTCGAGGTAACCTTTGAATTAATGCTTTGTAGGAGAACGGATGGTTCGGCCCCCCCCCTTTTAGAGTGGAGAAAGAAGAAGAATTTAGGAAGGAAGAGGGAGAAGAGGATGGAGGAGGAGTCGACTAATTTTCTGGAAATCGAAATCTCGGTTTAATATCAATACGCGAATTTGGCCACGGGCCAACATCAATACAACGGTTTTATTTGCCAACTAATTAAGTTAATTATTCCGCCATAATTATGATATGGCTTATTTGTCGAGGATTGGCGCTTTTAATAATTAAATGACGCAAATGTCGTTACCTTATCTTCCCTCTTAGATTGGCCGAAAAGGGGTTAAAATACGGCCAGTTTCTAAACCCGTCGAAAATAATTATCGCTTCTCCACGGTTTTACGTACAAATATACGTATTTCTAACCTTAATATTTCGATTTTAAAGCGATTTATATTCGTGCCAAACTCACTTAAAGCGCGCGCACAGTCTCATTACCCTTTTAAATTATACAATGTAACCAATTACAATCGTCAATCTATTATCTGCGTGTGTGACGATAGAATAAAATTGAAGTGTATTTGTCTCTTCGCTCTATACTTTGCCTAATTCTTTACTGTAGTAACTTTCGATTTCTGTGTGCTCGCTGCAACTCTTTGTGTGTTCTATGACTTATGTGTTTGTGCGTGTTCTGTGCCTTTATACGTCTGTGTATGTTTTGTACCTACGGGCCTATGTGTTTCCGTGTATACGCGGATTTATCTTTGTTTATATCTATACAAATAATTATCTAGATACAGCGAACAATTTTGTTAGTCCCTGCTGTTCCTTACGTACTGTACCTCTTGGTATAGAGAATGATGAAGCTCAGTCCTTTAAGTGTCCGTTTTACATAAGCTCGCTGTATACGTGTGCATATACAGCATAAATAAATATATAGTGTGGTGAAAATACAGCGGAACTGTAGAGAAAATAGCACAGAAATATGGTAGAAATAGGGTGCAAATATGTTCGGATTACGGTGGAAATATGATGGATATAAACTCGGGTATTGTCGGCTCGACTTATACACACGATTAATTGTTAGTAACGCATAAAGCAACGTCTCTCGTTTTGTGCACACGCGAATCGTATTTTTTCATTCAATTATGCACGCTTCTACGTAGTATTTCCCTTTCGTTCCTCGTATTAAGACACACACGACAAATTACAATACTATCATCGCCAACGGCGTAATTAACTAACCTAAAATTAATAGAGAATAAGCAAAATCGATAAAGGAAACGAACAAAACGTTCATTAAAAGCGGTAGACATTACAAAGAGCGATTAATTTCGAGCAGCAATTAATAATTTTCGATTAATTCATAGCACATATAAACGATGTTAAAGTATTGTGTTAAAGAAGAAGAGAGAAGTAACAGCTTGCGTCGAACAATTTCGAGGTTAACCGACATCCCCTGCCACATTTCAATCGAGAGAAAAGATTCGACACACCAAACTGCTTCCCGTTTATAACCAAATCTCACAGTAAAACCTGTGTAAGCCGGATCGCGCGGCACCTGTTTTCGACGGATTTTATCGTATAAATACACAAGTGGCACACCAATTTAAATAAAAAAAACACCGCATAATTGTTAATTAAAAGCTTGTAAAATTGGTGTTTTTAAATGGCGAAGGGGATCAATTTTATTTTCGTGATGCTGCTCGAGACTAAATCTCATCCAATGGTTATAAAGCACAGGTTGTATGGAGTCCTTTACGACCCAGTAAACTGCCGTTTTCTATTCCACACCAGCGACAAAGAAGACTCTCGCTTACAAGTGAAGAAAGATATTTATTATATTTTTTATGAATCGTAACAATAAATAAAATTCCGTTGAATACGAATTTCATTACAATTCGTTTGCGGTTCGGAATTTTTTCGGCCATTCGAGTTGCCAAGACATTTATAACCTCCAATCCTTTTATGTTAGAAAACCTGGCCGTAAACTTTACTGTACTTCTAGTACTCGCCGGTTTTTCTTTAATCGAATGAATTTTTCCCCTTTTTTTAAATAAATTCGTGGTCATTTATGTCTTTTTTACTAAAGTAAAACCACTAGACTTGGACTTGTGGCACTAACTGGGCTCTGGTTCGAAATTCGTGCCCCTTACCAACGTCTCGCCGCATGGAACGAGCCTCAAAATGCCCCTAAAAAATCCCCTAAATTACTCAACACGATCGAAACAATTGCTAAGCTTTCTCGTCCAAATGTTCGGGCCCCTACTGGGTCCCGAATCAGGATCCAAATGTTCGGGCCCTGATATATAATAGGCCCTTCCTCTCCTCTATATAGTAATAAATGCAAAAATTTGAGGCCCTGAGCAGTGAATCGTTTACATCACGCGCAATTTCCGCTCCCGATGACGCGCCGCTTGAGTTTGCGTCAAAAGTTTGACGCAAACTCAAGCGGCGCGACGCGACGCAAACTTTTCTGGAAAAAAAAAAACAAATTCTCTTGATATTTACAATTCTTTTCGGCGAATTTTTTAACATTATCCGTAATGTATTGTTCGGTGTTTGTAATTTAGAATAACCAACGCTCGCGGCTCGACTTCTGAGGATTCTCTTCACGCTTCGCCAGTCGCTTTAATCGCTTATCAAACGTAATTCAAGGGCTTAGAATCGTTAAAAAAAATGATTAATTCTCTTAATGGCAACATAAAACACAGACACAGAACAAGATTTACTTCGATAAACAGCAGAAGTTTTTACCTTCAAACCGTAGTTGATTCTATTCTTGGAGAAGGGGAAGGAAAGAGAGAGAGAGAGACAGCGATAGAAAGAAAAATTCTCTGGAGTAAACCGATCTTCTGCTATAAAAGTGAGTTAGATAAGTGAAGATAGTTCCTATCGTAACAATGTTTAAATTAACTTTATTTGAGCACCTACAATAAAAGCATTAACGATAACCGTATTCTTATCGGGGACTTCAGGAGGGGTGTTGCAGACCTTCATAAAAAAGAAAAAAACTACAATCTGTAACCCATTTCTCAATGGGATTATCTGGTAATGGCCCGATATGATTCATTTATCTGATAATCGTATAATTCGGCAAAGTTCCTCACCCCCCTTTCGCTTGCAACGCGTGGAAAAATACAAAAGAAAAAAAAGGCTCGCCATCCACGCTTACAGATAATTCGTTTTGCTCACTTTTCTAATTTCTCTAGAATGAGAGGGAGGGAGAGAAGGAAGGAGGAAGAGGAAGAAGAAGAAGAAGAAGAAGGGGAAAAAAAACTTCCCCACATAATAGTCTGAAGCAGAATGCGGGAGATTCCTCGTTACACAAATAATCTCGTCCCACAAATAGCTATGTGTCCCTCGAGATCTCGACTTCCCTTAAAGGTATAAGTTGACACTAACTGGATACGACACTATTCCTGATTGCCAGACACATCTATCTCGTTTGCTCTAGGCCCCCGAAGAACGTTACAACTTATTGGATGCTGCGATGTGACGTAACGACTTTCTGAACTCGAAAGGAAACACGGGATGGTGTTTTTTAAAACACGTATAAAGAATAACGAAATCTTCCAAATTCGAGCTCGACCCCTTGGGTTTTGTGTGAGGTGTGTAACACGCTAAAAGATACAAGTCGCCATTTTTTTTTAACCTTTCTATGGTCGTGCCCGTGTTAATTACGACCAGATTGGTGCAGACTTAACCATTGTTAGTTACAATGTTACGTTTGTTTGCCTTTTGATAATGCCTCGGTTAACGAGAAAAGAACAATATGACTACAATTACTACCGAACAATATCAAAATAATGATCGATGAGCTTTTTATAACAGTAATAATCGAATTCTTAAGTTACGACACGTCTGTACAGGACGATAATCGATAAATTCCCTTTCTTGAACTTCTCCAAATGGGATTTTATGAAAAGATCGAGCTTCTAAAAGATGAATCAATTGGAAATTACATCGAATTTCTGGCCTACATTCTTTTTTATTGTGACGTTTCCTTTCTGGGGAAAAAAAAAAAAACTATTTTCGCAGCGATAAATTGTGACGTAAAACACAATTAAGAAGACAACTTAGTTCTTACAAATTAGGAAATTCCGAGAGTGGTAAATTCGGAAATTCGTTTAAAAGTAAAAATTCTCGTGGGAAAAAATGAAAAATTACAAATAATATTGGGGTAATTAGTGATTCAATTATTCTTTCTATGTGCAGTTGTGTGAAAACGTCCAATTATACAAACAGTACGATAATTAACACCGGGGTTTTTTTTCCCTTCGAGATAATCATAGAAAGTGCTGCGGAGTGGCTCAATTTATCTCTTTCTAATTCGGTTTTTCTTTTAAAACGCTAATAATAACTTGATTATAAGTTGGGTTTTACACGAAAATTTTCGGTATCGACTAAATTTATTTGGCACTTTAATCGTAATTAAATGGGCAAAATGGAGGCCGTTGTTGTTTCTAACAGGGAAATACAGAAGTGAAAGAGGAGGAAGAAGAAGAAGAAAAAGGTGGATGGAAGAATGGAGATAAGTATCTCGATTCGAAAATCCCACGCGAATGATCCTTTGCCCAATTGAGCCCGTAACCGTCCATTGTTCCTTTTACGATATAAGAGTATAAAAGAGTCTCGAGAGTGTTGCGCTGCAAGCACTCTAAGTGCTTTGTTTGTGAACTGTCTTCCGATGCACTTCACTTGGCCGATCAAATTCGAACGACTAACGTCTACAAAAACACTTCTCCACACTTTGCCGTCTATTGATAAATATT